AGTCAACTGTAGGCCACTTCGTTCTCTTCGACTTCCCAAAATTTCACTCCCGGGCCACATTTTGAATGCTCGGAGCCAACTGTAGGCCACTTCATTTTTCCAGATTTCCATTCCCGGGGGACATTTTGAATGCCCGGAGCCAACTGTAGGCCACTTCGTGCTCTTCGACTGCCCAGAACTCCATTCCCGGGCTACATTTTGAATGCCCGGAGCCAACTGTAGGCCGTTTCGTGCTCTTGGACTTCCCAGAACTCCATTCCCGGGCTACATTTTGAATGCCCGGAGCCAACTGTACGCCACTTCGTGCTCCACTTCCTAGAACTCCACTCCCGGGCCACATTTTGAATGCCCGGAGCCAACTGTACGCCACTTCGTGCTCTTCCACCTCCCAGACTTCCAAGACTCATCATCTTCATCATCATCATCATCGTCCCCGTAGCCTTCTTGGCTACAGCCCTGCTTTCGAAGATTTCCTTTCAAAGGAACTGCGCAGCGCCTACTGCACACTTTCGCCAGGCCGAGGCTGCAGGCAGACTGAGGCTGAGGCTGAAACAGGCTGAGGCTGAGGCTGAGGCAGGCTGAGGCTGAGGCTGAGGCAGGCTGATGCTGAGGCAGGCTGGGGTTGAGGCTGAGGATGATGCAGGCTGAGGCTGCGGCAGGCTGAGGCTGACGCTGAGGCTGAAGGCAGACTGAGGCTGAGGCTGAAGCAGGCTGAGGCTGAGGCTGAGGCTGAGGCAGGCTGAGGCTGAGGCTGAGGCAGGCTGAGGCTGAGACAGGCCGAGGCTGAGGCCGAGGCTGCAGGCAGACTGAGGCTGAGGCTGAAGCAGGCTGAGGCTGAGGCTGAGGCAGGCTGAGTCTGAGGCTGAAGCTGAGGCAGCTGATGCTGAGGCCGGCTGAGGCTGAGGCTGATGCAGGCTGAGGCTGAGGCAGGCTGAGGCCGAGGCCGACGGCAGACTGAGGCTGAGGCTGAGGCTGAAGCAGGCTGAGGCTGAGGCAGAGGCAGGCTGAGGCTGAGGCTGAGGCAGGCTGAGGCTGAGGCTGAGGCTGAGGCTCATGCAGTGTGAGGCTGAGGCAGGCTGAGGCTAAGGCCGAGGCTGAAGGCAGACTGATGCTGAGGCTGAAGCAGGCTGAGGCTGAGGCCGAGGCAGGCTGAGGCTGAGGCAGGCTGAGGCTGAGGTTGATGCAGCTTGAGGCTGAGGCTGTGACTGCAACTGCCGTTGCCACTACGACTGCCATCGCGAATGCGATTACGACTGCGAGAACAGCAGAATTCTACAACTGGGTTCTCATCTGAATCTTAAGGGGAATGCTTCCAGACAAGCTCCTACACATCGCTGTTATGTTGCTTTGCCGGGATAATTTTGGTTTTGAAACACTGTGTATCCCCCCCTGGGGCCGTGCCCCTCCGGCGCGTGCACTTGTCATACGGTGTTGTCCCAATTTCCAAAGTAGAGATTCTTTCATACCATCCCAAACAGGCCAGACTCCGCGCCCCCCACCATGCTCGTCAAATGATACTCTGCGCGCGCATTGATTTGTCAAAAATCATACATCTGAAGTGCGCACGTGAGCGTCGTCGCGCTTGCATGGCGAAATCATTCAAACGCAGTTGTCCTGGAAACATGTGAAAACCTATTGTTCTACAGCGTTCGTGTTCAAAAGAGGTCTGCGCGCGTTCTTCCACATGTTGTTGACAACCATTGGTGTTTCAAAATGTTCAGCACATGCGTCCACACGGGCCTCTTGCGCGCGTGCCCGAATCGTTCAGATGCCTACGCGCGTTCTAGCGGGGCCACGGCTCTATTCAAATAGTACCATTTGGGCCACTCGCGCCCGTTGGCCGCGCGGGCGTGCCACATTTTTTCTTAACGTAACCGTCATCACCGACACGTAGACACCATCATCGTCATTTGCCTGACCATTTAGCCATCATCGGCCTTGGCGTCGTCATTGTCATCGTCGTCGTGAACATCGGTACAATCAGAATCGTTCGCGCCGTTGTCGACGTCGCCGTGATACCAACCCCCTCCCGAGCCTCCGGCTCGCACTGAACCGCCCCTGCGCCAGTGCGGCGTGCGAGACGCGCTGGGAAGAGCCCAGCGGGCAGTGCCACCGCGGCCGCTTCGGTCGCGCCAGACCAGCGCGGCCGCAACGATGCACCAGCCAGCGCCAAGCAGTCATCGCAATCGGATCCGCAAGGGTTTTGCATGCCAGGCTGCGGGTGGGTGGGTGGGATGATTGCGCGAGCAGTGATGTTGTCAATTTCCAGATCGGCTGGGCGGATTGTCTTTCGCGAATTGGAAAAATCATGTGCTAGCACCCCCCCCCAAGACTGATCGATTCCCTGGGAACCGATGCGAAACACACACATATGTATGTATATATGTATATATATCATTATGACCCAGTGTCAATTGTACATGTGAGTTCATACTATCCCAGCCAGGCTGGTATCGGTACCCCCCGCCAGCCTCGGACAAACATACTATGCGCACACACTCGTTTATCCAACAACAGAAGTTCCCAATAATCTTTTGTAACAGATGGGTCGAAGTGCGCACGCGCGCGTCGTCGCGCGCGCATGCCGAAATCGTTCAACAACTTGTGGTGTCGGAAGGGATTCAAAATCGATTGTCCAAGAACGCGTTGGAAAAAAACACTCGATTTCGCAACACGGATGTTCAACGAAGGCGTGCGCGTTCTTGTTATTTATTCGACAGAAACCATAAATTGTTCATTATGTTAATACCATGGTACCATTCGGATTTCGCGAGCATGCATGTCGAAATCGTTCGAACGCCCATTGCGCACGTGCTGGAGTGGCACGGTCCGTGTCAAATAACATCATGCGAGCCACTGTCGCGCGTCTGCCACGCGCGCATTTCGAATTCGTTCCAAAAGTTTCATCACCGACGCGAAGACGCCGTCATCGTCGCCGACGTGATCAGCATCAGCGCCGCCACTGGTTGGCCCGTCGTCGCGGTCAGCAGCGCCGCCAGCAGCATCGCTACTGTCATCATCATCGTGTACACCGCTGTCGACGTTGCCATGACACCGCCCCCGCCCAAGCCGCCGACTCGCACTGAGGTGCCCGCTGGGATGTGCCGAGCGGTCAGCGCCACCGCGTTCGCACCGGTCGCGCCAGACTAGTTGGCCGCTGCGCGCGCGGCGTGCGCGGGTTAGCGCGGCCGCAGAGATGCACCAGCCCACACCCAGCAGTCATCGCAATCGCTCTCGCATGACTTTTGCAAACCATGTTGCAGGTGCGTGGATGGGACGAGTGCTCGAGCAGTGGCGTGGACAACTTCAAGTTTGGCAAGTGAATTGCACCACGTAGACTGCACCACATGCGTTGCACACCAAATCTTGCACAACAAATGCTGATTGCACCAAATCGATTATTCAGCTGTTTTTTGCACAGCGTCGACTGTACCACATAGGTTGCACCACGTATCTTGCACCACGTATCCAATCGCCTTCGGCCCACCCCGCCACCGTGCCTGGGTTGTGTGTGAGTGGCCTCTGGGATATTCGTTTGGATCTCCTGGGGGGCCTCGGGGGGCCTCCTTTCGGGGGGCAGTTTCGGGGGCCTGACTCGGGTTTCTTGTGGGCCTCTGGTGGCGTTTTTGCGGCGGAAGGCTAGGAGTACTGGTTCGCCCCCCCCCCTCCCCTCCCTTCAAAGGCCCCTGTGATGGTGACTTGCCGGGAGTTGCCCGGGGTACTTGTTGCTCCGGGACCCCCAGGGGCAACCACGCGCGGGCGAATTATAACATTGTTAACTTGCTGCTGGAGATCTTAGCACGCCGCCTGCCCGTTGGGCTGGCGAATTCCGATGTTCTGGCGATCCGATGCGGCCAGTTGGGTGCATAGCGTTGTTGTGCATCTTGGCGCAGCCGCTTCGCTTCGAGTCCGACTCCGTGCCGATGATCGACGATACGACGCATATGCCGATTCCACCAGATTCCACGATTCGATCTTGCTTGATGTTGCCGTGTGTGCTCCCTCTTGTTCCGCGTATTTATCCCATCCCCATAGCCACTGGGCCATTGGTATCTCTGCCCGGGCAGGCCACAGCCCCACGATGGGGACAGGCCTCGCGAGACCCGAGAAGAGCAGCGCACATCCCCATCGGGGGGGGGTCGGATCGTTCAGTGGGGCAAGGGCCATGCCAGTGAGAACGCTGCTGATCTGCTCCGCTCGTCTACGGTAGATTCAAGCGGGGGCGGAATGGAGGAGGAGGAGGGGGAGGAGGAGGAAGAGGAGGAGGAGGAGGAGGAGGAGAAGGAGGAGGGACAGGGGGTTGGAGGAGGAGGAGGAGGAGAGGAGGAGGAGGAGGAGGAGGAGGAGGAGGAGGAGGAGGAGGAGGAGGAGGACGAGGTGGGGTGCAGTTGGATGGGGAGGGGGGATGAGGAGGAGGAGAGGAGGAGGAGGAGGAGGAGGAGGAGGAGGAGGAGGAGGAGAGGACGACGACGGCCAGGAGGAGGAGGAGGAGGAGGAGGAGGAGGAGGAGGAGGAGGAGGAGGAGGAGGAGGAGGAGGAGGGAGGAGGAGGAGGAGGAGGAGGAGGAGGAGGAGAGGAGGAGGAGGAGGAGGAGGAGGAGGAGGAGGAGGAGGAGGAGGAGGAGGAGGAGGAGGAGGAGGAGGAGGAGGAGGAGGAGGAGGAGGAGGAGGAGGAGAGGAGGAGGAGGAGGAGGAGGAGGAGGAGGAGGAGGAGGAGGAGGGGGGAGGTTGGAACGAGGAGAGGAGGAAGGAGGAGGAGGAGGAGGAAAAGGAGGAGGAGGAGGAGGAGGGAAAGGAGGAGGAGGAGGAGGAGGAGGAGGAGGAGGAGGAGCAGGGGAGGGAGGGAGGGGAGGGAGGGAGGAGGTGCAGGGGAGTGAGGACGCGGAGGATGAGGAGGAGGAGGAGGAGGAGGAGGAGGAGGAGTTCGGATAAGGACAGGACTCACGAGTGCTCGGCTGCTCCGCGTTAGCCGTGCCCCCCGCCCCCCTGGCCCGCGAGCAGGCGCCTTCGGAGCCGCCCCCGGGCAGCGGCGGAGGCGCGGGGCCCCTGAAAGTAGGCGCGGCGCGCCGCCCGCAGCGCGCGGCTCGCCGGGCAGCGCTGCGCTGCACCTGCGTCGGGCATCAATCGACGGGGGTCGATGCACACGGCGGCCAGTCATTGAAGAAGAAGAAGAAGAGGAAGAAGAAGAATAACATGAAGAAAAATAATGATATGTATAAGAAGATGCAGAAGTTAGAGGGAAGATCCAAGCACAAGCCGTAGAACAATTCAATGTTTGGCGCGCTCCGCGCCAAAAGTTTCGGCGCGGAGCGCGGCAAAACTGGCTCCGCCTTGGCGCGCTCCGCGCGCCAAAGAGGTGCGGAGCGCCAGAAATTCTGTTTATCCCGTGTTTTTTCTACAGTCGGAGCGCCAGATCTTGCAGGATCCTGCAGGACCAGGGGTGCATTGACCTGGGCTTGGTTGCAGGGTTCTTCAGGGTCTTGCAGTATCCTGCACGGCCTGACTGACCCGGGATTGGATTTGCCCGGGTCGGAAGATCCGTCCCCCAGATATTGGCGTCTCGTCTTGTTCCCGACGCAGGCTCGACGCGGTCTTTGCGCGGATGCGGCGTGCCATCGACGCGGATGCGGCATGGTTTCGACGCGGATGCGACGAGTCCGACATGGACTCGACACGGATTCGGCGCGGTTGGGTGCGCGACGGGACAGGCAAGGCCTATCGAAGATGCAGTTGGAGGCAGGAGTCTGTCGGGGCACCCCCAGAAAGGGTGCGGTGGCCACAGCGTTTGGTGAAGCAGCGGGGATTCGGGTTGACCGGGCGGAGTTCCACAGGAGGCAGAGCTCAGCAGAGGGCGGGTGGAGACGACAGCGGTTGGTTTGCCGAGGGCCATCTCGCCACCACGGCGGCACGCGGCTCCGAAAACTGGTGAGCCTGGACCCCAGGAGGGGTCCAGGGATTGCGATGGTCCAGCACACTCAGAAAGAATTTCGAGCGCCCAAGAAAGTGCCAGACCTCGAGGGTGTTCACGTGTCGGGCCCCAGGAGACACTCGCCCGACACTGCTTCGATACTTGTTCGACCCCCTTCCCGACACTTTCCTGCGTGCTCGAAATTATTTATGTGATGTGGCCTTTCAGTACGATGGGAGCAACATCTGCTCTGAATATATATATATATATAGATATATACACATACATACATACATGCATATATACATATATACATACACACATACATATACATACACACACATACATACATACACACACATACATACATACATACATACATACATACATGCATGCATGCATGCATGCATGCATACACATACATACATACATACATACATACATACATACATACATACATACATACATACATACACACAAACATGCATGCATGCATACATACATACATACATGTACACATAAATTCATAAACATGCATACATATTTATGTACATATACATTTTACAAATAAAACGTACACATTACACACATATATATAGAGAGATGCATTTATACATATACATTGACATACATCTCACACATAAAGCACACAACACAGAACTGCGCAGAGGGGAACCTTCGGAGCGCTGCACCGGACCCCTCGGGCTCGGCACCGGGCCCCCCTCTGCGGGCGCCTCCGGCGGGAGGTCGGGCCCGTCCCTCTGCAGGGGGAGTGTCCGGAGATGGCAGCACGGGGCCCGAGCGAAGGGAACCCACGAGGCAACGCCCACGAGGCTCCCCAAAAGGGCGTCCCAGAGGCCCCAAGAGCCTGTTCTTCTTTATATCCAGGCAAGCTAACTTGCATGGCGTTCGCACCCCCCCCCCGCCCCCCCTCGCTCCTCTTCAATCGAACACGAGCGTGCAAGTGTCTTTCGACTTGCGTGATTTCCGCACGTCGAATTGTTTTCGGCTTGCTTCAGACTCAGCCCCCCCCCCCGTCCATGCAAGTAAACTTGCCCCGAGCCCCCCCCCAAAAAAACAGGCTCCGAGGCAAAGCCCACGAGGCTCCCAAAAAGGGCGTCCCAGAGGCCCCAACGGAAGCCACCACGGAGGGGCCTGCGAGGCCTCGCCCACGAGATCCCAGCGAGCGCGCGAAGAGCGCCAGAGCATGCCCAACGGAACAGGGGGCCACATGCGAACCCCACCCCTACCCCCCACGATTTCTGAGGGGGAGGGTGGGGTTCACTTCGTTCGGGAGCTCCCGAGCGAAGTGAACCCCGCCCTCCCCCCCAGAAGTCGTGGGGGGTAGGGGTAGGGTTCGCATGTGGGCCCCCTATGAAAGAAAAAACACGAATTCGACAGAGGACGATGTTTTGACTATGCTTCAAATCGTCCAACATCCCCCTGTAGGGGGACGGGCCCGACCCAGCGCCTGCGCCGCCTTCCGCGCGTTCCGCGCGCAGGGAAGGGCTGTCCAGCGCCGATCCCAGAAGTCTGCACTTACTTCCGAAAGATCATGTTGATGCAGTTCTCTGTCCCTCAAAGTGGGGGACTCGGGATGGCTGGATGGTTCTGGGACTATGGACTTTCTCAGGGGACGACCTGTCGGGTACTTTGGACCGCCGAGGTTCCAAAGCCGTGCGGTCGCGGGACGCATGGTGATGTCTTTGGGGATGTCGAGGTCACCTCATGGTCTGTCGCCGCACCGTTCTGGGACCCCGAAGCCTTCTACGGAGCTTTCCCCCCTCCTGCACGCGTGTGCGCGCCGCGCACCATTCCAGATCGATGTGTCCACCCCTGAGCTGCTCACTATCGTGCTCCGGGCCCCGCTCGGCTGTCAGAGAGCGGCTCAGGGTTGCCAACTGGGCGACCCCCCAAAACCGGGATGGTCTGCGCCGACATTGGCGCGACCGTTGCCCGCACGAGATCGCGCGTAAGCGCCCTCGTCCCCACTGCAGCGCGCCACGCCAAGGGCAGCGTGCGTCGCTACGTCATCTCGCGCAAGACCCGTTTTTGATCGTCGCTCAACTGGTCCTGGGGGGGAGACCCGTCTTTGGCCGTCGCTGAATGGGTCCTGGGGGGAGGCCCCAGGGTCCGGGGCCCGTTTCCCTCGGGACTCGTTTCCCCCGCGCTACTGGAAGCGTTCCTCCGTGCCATCGCGAGGTGCGGCAGGGGCCGTGCACCGTGCTGCCCACGTCTCGAACGAGAAATGATAACAAACTGTGCCAAACATCAGAGCTTCGCGCGGATTTCGTGGAAGGGCTCGGGGCCTAACGTTACCCCGGCGGCGCCTCCGGCGCCGCCCCTGGCGGGCTCCGCGCGCCGGGGACGGGCGCCCAGCGCAGATCCAAGAGCTCTACGCGGCTTGTCGAAAGCTTATGGTCACGCAGTCGTCTCCCCCTCTAACGAGGAGAAGGAGGAGGAGGAGGAGGAGGAGGAGGAGGAGGAGGAGGAGGAGGAGGAGGAGGAGGAAGGAGGGAGGAGGAGGAGGAGGAGGAGGAGGAGGAGGAGGAGGAGGAGGGAGGAGGGAGGAGGAGGAGGGAGGAGGGAGGAGGAGGAGGAGGAGGAAGGAGGGAGGAGGAGGAGGAGGAGGAGGAGGAGGAGGGAGGAGGGAGGAGGGAGGAGGAGGGAGGAGGGAGGAGGAGGAGGAGGAGGAGGAGGAGGAGGAGGAGGATGAGATTTCCGTAGCCATTTTGGCTCAAGCCTGCCTTGAGCGCCATGCGGGCTGGCTGCTGGTTGTCTCTCCTGCTGCTTCTGCGCTCGAGAGCGGCTCAGTCCCAGTCCCCTTTCGCGGCCCCCGCGATGTCGGAGGTCGGCCTGGAGGAGAAGGTTGGCATGGCTGCGGGGGCGCTGCCAGCCGCATGGCGGCCCAGTGGGTTGCGGGCTCAGGAGATACTGGCCCTTGGAGTTTCGGCAGCGAGGCGCGCCGCGCGACTCAGGCGCCAGCATGCCTGCGAGGCAGCCCTCCGCAAGTTCCAAGCGGACGGCCTGGCGGCGCCGCGCTCATGGCGCGACCGCGAGATCGCGGCGAGACCTGCGCTGATGCTGCTCGCCGAGGGCCTGCCAGTTCCAGGCGGCCGCCGCCGCCGGCGGAACGCTGCGTGGCATGCGGCTCGCGCGCCAGCGAGGGGCTTCGCGCGCGCGTCCCCCGAGGACTTGGCCTGGGCTGCCGCGGGGCCCAGACTGGAATGCCAGTTCGCGAAGACAGGCGGCATCGTGGACGTGCCGTTCGAGTGCGTGCCGTGCCCTCCCGAGAGCGGGCACGCCGTGCAGTGCCTCGCGGAGGCGACTCCGGTGCTGGCGCCAGGAGCTTGGCTGCGGAGCGACCCCATCGGCGAGGCCTGCGCTTTCGGCCAGGGCCTGGCGGTGGGCTGGAAGCTTGCGCACCGCCAGGCAGGCGAGCCGCAGATGGAGTCCGACGAGCCCGCCGACGACGACAGCGGCAGCCTCGAGGGACCGCAGGCCGACGCGGAGGTCATCCAGGGCATCGAGGAGCAGAGCTCCGAGTCCATCGTGAAGCTGGACCTCGAGCGCCAGGACTCCGAGCAGAAGCTGATCGAGTACTTGGAGTGGGTCGCCCTCCCCGCCGCGGCCCTGAAGCGGACGAGGGCGGCGTCGGCGCGCGAGCAGCCCTTCGTGCAGCTGGCCGTGAAGCTCGCGCAGGACTGGTCGGTGAATGTGGGACTCCGCAGGCTCTGCTCGAAGGGGCACGTGCTGGACAGGGACTCGAATCCGTTCGACGACCCGCTGCCCCGCGCCGCCTGCGGCATCATGATTCCCGTAGATGGCGCCATCTACATTTGCGAGGACAGTTGCGACGACACCTTCTGCCCGTCCTGCGTGCGTGGAAGATGACCGTGAGTGGCAGCGGCGCGCCCGCTGCTTGCTTTGCCGCCCCGTGCCTGTCACCGACGGCGCGCGGAATGGGAAATGGTTCTCTCTCCTGCGTGAGGGGCGGATTCTTGCTGGCTGAGGCGCGTCACCGACCACCTCCGCCCTGGGAAACAGAAACAGAGGAGGAGGAGGAGGAGGAGGAAGAGGAGGAGGAGGAGGAGGAGGAGGAGGGGAGGAGGGAGGAGGAGGGGAGGAGGAGGAGGAGGAGGAGGAGGAGGAGGAGGAGGAGGAGGAGGAGGAGGAGAGGAGGAGGAGGAGGGGGAGGGGGAGGGGAGGGGGAGGGGGAGGGGGAGGGGAGGAGGAGGAGGAGGAGGAGGAGGAGGAGGGAGGAGGAGGAGGGAGGAGGAGGAGGAGGGGAGGAGGAGGAGGAGGAGGAGGAGGAGGAGGAGGAGTAGGAGGAGGAGGAGGAGGAGTAGGAGGGGGAGGAGGAGGAGGAGGAGGAGGGGGGAGGGGGGGAGGGAGGGAGGGAGGGAGGTAGGGAGGGAAGGAGGGGAGGAGGGGGGGGAGGGGAGGGGGGGGGGGGGGAGGGGGGGAGGGAGGGAGGGAGGGGGGAGGGAGGGAGGGAGGGAGGGGGGGGGGGAGGGAGGGCGGGGGGGGGGGGGCGGGAGGGAGGGAGGCAGGGAGGCAGGGAGGCAGGGGGGGAGGGAGGGGGGGAGGAGGGAGGGAGGAGGAGGAGAGGAGGGAGGGGGAGGAGGAGGAGGGGAGGAGGAGAGGAGGAGGAGGAGGAGGAGGAGAAGGAGGAGGAGGAGGAAAAGGAGGAGGAGGAGGAGGAGGAGGAGGAGGAGGAGGAGGAGGAGGGGGGCGCCCGTCCCCGAGCTCATGCTTCGCCCTCGGCTTCCCTGGCTCCCTGGGGGCGGCGCCGGCGGAAGGGTGCCCCACTCTGCTCCAGCGCGCGTTCCTCCCCCCAGACTCCTCGTCGCCGCGCGCTCTTCATTCTGGTTGGCATGCTGTTTGTCATGTGATTTGTTGGTTTGCATTTTCTGCTTGACCGTCTATGGTTTATCTACCGTATTCTGATTTGTTAGCATTATGATTCGGATGGCCGTTAGTCCTTACTGTCTGCCCGGTTATCGCTTTTGACTTATACTTGATATTATTTTTGTTGTTTTCAATTTCACAGATTCACAGTATTTTACGTCTTCTTATTCTGACTACGCTTCTTCTGCCCGCGTGGCTCTGCCCACGGACCCGTAGCGTCCGCAGCCGGACATTTTGCACGGGAAACGGAGGTCCAAGCGATGGCGAGAGGATGCAGCTCCTGGGAAGTTGAATCCTGGATCGGCGCTGGTAGATCCCTTGCCGGAACTGGCACGAACTGTTTTCATCCCCTTAAACATTGTTGATTCCCGCTTAGTCGGGTTCAATCTGGGCGTAAAACGGCCTGATTTGTCTCGATGCCCCTTCAATCGGGCCTAGTAATCCTTAAGCAAACACCTCCCAGGAGCTGCCTCCCAGCACTCCCCTCCACCGCTGCAGTCGGGGCCCTGAAGAAGGAACCCCTTTCGTTGCGGAAGGGGCTCCGCTTTCTTTAAGTGTTTCCCAGCTTGCCGCAGGTTTTCCTCATGTTTCCGATAGGAAATCGAAGTTTAATCTATGGAAATAAGGTGCCTCGTTCCTTATTGAGGGTTCCTTAGGTCAACGCCCTGACTTTACCCCTCTCATCGTTCAACCTTCTATTTGTCGCCCCAGCGTCGGTCTGCCCAGCCTTACCTGCCTCCACACCCCGCGGGAGGACAGCGAGGACGAGGATGCGCGGTGGAGGAGGAAGAGGAGGAAAAATAGAGGCAGGTAGACCTGACCTCCTTCAACCTCCTTCCACCTGCCTTCTCCCCTTCATCCTCCACCCTGTCTCTGCCTCTCTCTTGCCCAGTGTCCGTCCTCCTCATTTCACCCTGCTCACTCTCCCTTCTCCTACTCTGTCCATCTGCCTTCCCCGCTCCTCGTCTTTCTCTTTGTCCATCGACCCTCTTCGTCATCCTTTGCCTCCCTCCCTCGTCCTCCTTTGCGGGAGGTCTCGGCGGAGGTCCCTGGATGTCTTCAGCGGTCTCCCGGCGTTTCCAGCCAGAAGTCCCTCGATCGAGGCCAACGGACGCCCATAAGGGGCCTAGGCGCTTCAAACATACACGGACGTCCTGCCCTAGCTCCTACTCATTCCGCCCTGCTCTCCTTCATCCGCGCCATCTCGAGGCGGACCGGACAGGGCCGCCCCTGGCGGCATGGTCGGGGGTTCCAGCGGCAGCCTGACGCTCAGCGCTCCCCCGCTGGGGAGACAGGTGGAGGAAGGACGGTAGTCGAGGGACGAATCACGGGGACCAAGAACAAGATGTGGCGGGATCTTGTCGACGCCGATCTTGGTCATGGTTCATGCCTGCCACTGCCGATTCGCGACGACGAGCCACGAATCGACGCTGACCAAGATAGACGGTGACCAAGATCGGCACGGACGTGTCCACGTTCAGACTTGGTCATGGCCACAGTTTGACTTGCCTCCAGCAGGGGGGGAAGGAAGGTGCATACCTTCCAAACATCCAACTTCTCAGTTGGTGCAGGGGTCTTCGTTTCAGGTTTTGCAGCCGTGCATTCCAGGGGCTGCTTGCCTGAATGACCCTGGACATTCCCCTAGACTGTCCCAGACTTCGCGGGCTTTCCCAAGACTCCGTCGCAGCGAAGGCATTGTGACAAATTATTGCGTCCGACCTTTTCGTTTTAGCCACACGGGGCCTTGCGGAAGCCCCCCCTCCTTTTCGCGAGCTTTTCATCCAGAGTCGATGTGTAACGGCCCAAGGGCCCGAAACGGTTGTCCAGAGTTCGATTTTAAAGAATTGCTCGACGCGGGAATCCCTGAATGTGTGTATGTCTGTATTTGCAGACGCTTGTCCGAATGAGTTGTTCGGCATGAACTCGTACAAGTATGATTGAGCTTGGGTATGAGTGACTGCACAAGAGCGAGTCTGATTGAAAGTGAGTCTGTGTATGAGTGACTGGGTATGAGTGGGTCTGATCTTGAGTGAATCGGTTTGAGCAAATCTGGTCCACTTACAAGTGAATCTCGACATGGGCGGATCTGAGTACCTTCTGCCTCCCGGGGTTCTCTTGGCCGTCCCGGGGAGTGCCCTGGGGGCCCCTGGGGCTTCCTTGCAGCCTCCCGGAACCACCGAGGAGGCAACACACACACAGACACACACACACACACACGCACACACACACGTCAGTCGACGAAGGCAGGATCTCTGCTTCGCTGGGCATGTCCCCACAGTCTGGTCGCGAAGGGACCCGTGCACTACCCCCCTGGCGGCTCCCACCGCTGCCGGGGGTCGACCTGGAGCGGGCGGCGACGGCGGGAGGCGACGACGACGACGACGACGACGACGACGACGACGACGACGACGACGAGGACGAGGACGACGACAACGACGACGACGACGACGACAACGAGGACGACGACGACGTTCTCCCTCCAGTTCATCGGGCGAAGGGAACTATTTACATGCACCGGTCCTGGCCAGGCCCATCCTTGGCCCCAGGATCGGTGCATATGCCTTCCTGGCCAAGGCAGGAGGGCGTACGCACCGATCCTCGGCTCAGGATGGGCCTGGCCAGGATCGGTGTATGTGCACAGTTCTTTTCCTCTAGTGCAGCTGTGGTTGCTGCACCGCTGTGACTCCCGCCTCTGCTCGGAGGCTCTTTCGGCGCGCCCACCGGGCGTCTCGCTCGAGACTCAAGCATTGGCGAAGCGCCCTGGCGTGATTATAGGCCTACCAAACCATGTTCTATAAAAACCTTCTGTGGTTTTCACGAAATGTTTCGCGAACAGTTCTGGCTGGGACCGTCTTGTTTTAACACATCGGGTTTAGGTTCTAAGAACATTGTTTTGGTGATTCGAACATTTTTGGGTGCGAAGAACATTTCGTGGTAGGACTATCGGGATGCCGGGACGGTCGGTCCCTGCTCAAGAGGCATCTCCACATATTGGGCGCGAGCGAGTCCGGGATAGACCATTTCGGCGGCTCTCCTTTGGGGTGCCCAATTGGTTTGCCTGCTGCATCGCGGTGACCATTGGCCTCTGAACAGAGATTCGTCTTCTGGGGCAAACGAGCGCCTCGCTCGAGACATCCCCACAATGTGAGTGCGAACGGACCCGTGACATACCTTCTCGGCGGCCCTCCCTTGTGGTGCCTCTGCGTTTTGCCTGCTGCATCGCGGTGACCATCGGGCTCAAAACAGGATTTCGTGTACTGGCCCAAACGAGCCATCTCGCTCGAGGGACCCCGACATTCTGAGCTCGAAAGAGCCCGTGATACACTCCCGGGCGGCTCCCCCTTGGGGTGCCCAAATGTTCTGTCTGCCATATCGTGGTGACCATGGGACTGCGATAAAGATACCCGTCCACTGGGCCAAACGAGCGCCTCGCTCAAGATGTTCCCACTACATCCCAGTGTCAACGGGGCTCTGTGGATAGTGACCCGTCCACCGGGCCAAGCGAGCACCTCGCTCCAAACGCCCCCCGAGTCTGAGCGCGGACCGAACTGTGATATGCACACATCTGCGGCTCCCCCTTGGGGGTGCCCGACTGCTGCGCCTGCTGCGCCGCGGTGGACCCTGGGCTCGGAGCCTAGACCCCTCCACTGGGCCGCACGGGCGCCTCGCGCGAGACGCACCCCCGCTCCGAGCGCGAACGGGCCCGTGGCAGAGCTCCCCGGCGGCTCCCCCTCGGGGCTGCATCGCTCGGGGGCGGAAAAGAGGGGGGTGCTGACTATGGGGGGGTGGATATCATGGCGGGGGCCATGATATCTCCCCAGATCTCATGGCGCCTCTTCTTTTTTCATTACGTCCCTGGCCCCCCCGCTGGGCCGCGCACATGCCGCCGGTCATGATTTGCCCTCCCCCCCTCTTGGACGTCCCCCCTCTTGGCCGCTCCCGATTGCCTGCTGCATCGCTGTGGCCCGTGGTCTCTAAGCTGAGTCTCGCTCACTGTGCCGAACGAACGCCTCGCTCAGGACATCCCCAGTCTGAGCGCGCACGGGCCCGTGGCACAGCTCCCCGGCGACTCTCCCCTGCGGTACCCAACTGCTCTGCTTGCCGCATTTCTGTAGCCGTTGGGCTCCGACCGGAGACTCGTGCTCTGCGCCAAATGAGCGCCTCGCACAGTGGATCCCCACCGTCTGAGCGCGAATGGGCACGTGGTACACCCCATGGCGGCCCTCCCCCCGGTGTGCCCAAGTGCCTTGACCGCTACATCGTGGTGATCATGAGCGAGCCTGTTTACACAGAGCGAGTATGCATAGGTCTGGGTACGAGTGACAGCGTGTGGGTAAGTCAGGGTGTGTACCTGAGCATGCGTGAATCTGAGTGTCAATGATCAGAGTGCGAGTGTTCTGTATGTTTGTGTCTGAGCACTATGAGTGGATCTGTGCGTTAGTGCTCTGAGTATGAGTGGGGTTGAGTTCAGGTGAGTCTGAGGGTGAGTGAGTATCGAGTCTGAGATAGCCTGGTTGTGAACGATCCGGGTGTCAGCGGTCTGTATGAATGGATATGGATATGAATCGCTTAGCTAAGTATGGGCGGATCTGCAAGTGGGTGGTCTGTGTTCGAGGGAGTCGGAGCATCGGTGAATCTGAGTGTGTATGTGCGTGTGCGCGATATACAGAGAGCGAGTCAGTCTGAGTGTAGGGAGGGGCAGGCGTGTGAGGAGACGGAGGAGTCACATCATTATCAGGATCCCCAGCGTAGGATATGAGGACCGCATTGGAGCCCTTTTGACGTCGGATGTGTAAGCTCTTCTTACTTTCCCTCTTCTCCATTTGTGCGGTTGCATAATTGAGGGAGGCTGAATTCAGCATCAGCCTTGGAGTTCATCTGGTTATCCAGCCTCATCCGGTTGAGCCCAGCCTAGCCAGCCTCAGTCACCAACGATGGACATGTCCAGAGCCATGCCCTCGCGGTGTGGGTTCCGAGGCGCACCATCCAATACGCGGTACCATGGGGGTGCCTTCAGCGAGGGACATCCACACACAGACGTCCTGTACCCATGGGTTCGCGGCAGAAGGGGTCCAGACCGCAGGGCCATGGACAATGGGCACGACCTCTGGCCACGGACGGAAGTCCGGCTTGATGGACCCAGTGTTCCCGCGCCCGCGGAAGTTTCCGCAGGAGCTGCCACCTGCAGCACGTCCTGTGCAGGTATAGCTGGGGCTTGGGCTGCGTCAGGCCACTGGGCGCCGCGGGATGAGGCCCGGGGCTCGCCGGCGGCGTGCTCCGTCCAAGGCTAGGAAGTCGCCAGCAATGCACCGGACCAGTCCGGTGCACCCTGTCGCGCATGCTGGGACGCGCGGCGGCGTGCGCCGAGCTGGTCTTGTGCGCCCGCCGGGTGGCACCGCCAGGACTTCCAGGAGACGCCCAGGGAGCCCCCTTCGGGCCCCGGAGTGGAGCGAGGAGTCGAGGGCACCCTCGGCCGAGAGCGGCTTCGGAAATTCTTGACGCAGCGCGTGACCCCACCAGCCGGCAGCCGTGAGTGCGTCCGCTGGGTAATTAGGCTTTGCCCGTAGCCTGGGTTGACCTCTGACGCCGCCTGCGCCTTGGCTTGCGGCTGCGACGGAAAACAAGTAACCCCACCGGCCCATCCAGAAACAATGCCCAGAGGAATTGCCTCGATCAGGGAAGTGGGCAGCACACAGAGGAAGGGTCCCCCAGTGGAGGCCTCTTGGAGCGTCTTGGGGGCGTCTTGGCGGTCCTGGACGCCGTTTAGCGCGTCTTGGGTGCTTCGGAGAGCTTCTCTGGGCCTCTTGGGGGTCTCTTGGGAGCCTCTTGGAGGCCTTTTGGGCGCCTGGTGGGCCCTCCTGGGATCTCCTGGGCGCCTCTTGGGGCCCTCTTGCAGCGCTCTTGGGAGCCTTGGGAGCGCTCTTGGAGCCCTCTTGGGCCATCTTGGAGCCATCTTGAGGCCTCGGATGGCCACCGGAAGCGGAAAGGCGAGAAAGCCAACGACAAAAAACAAATGTTGGCCTCTTCGGGGCCTCCTGGGGGAGCTCTTTGGCCACTTGGAGCCGTCTTGGAGCGGTCTTGTGGCCTCTGGGAGCCTTGGAGCATCGTGGGAGCCATCTTGAGGCATTTTGTGATATCTTGAGCCATCTTGGAGGTCACCTTGGGCTCTCCCAGGCGCTACTGGAGTCATCTTAAGCAGTCCCCCCCTACCCCCAGGAAGCCAAAATGTGGCCAACACCTTAGTAACATCAATGATTTTGGCATTCTCGCCGAGGCCTCTTGGAGCGTCTTGGGTGCCTCTGGGGGGCCTCTTGGGGCCTCTTGGGGGTCTCTTGGGAGCCTCTTGGGGGCCTTTTTGGGGGCCTCTTGGGGGGCTCTTGGGGCCTCCTGGCCACCTCTTGGGGCACCCTTGGGAGCCTTGGGAGTGCTCGTGGGGCCATCTCGGAGGAGATCGATCAAACATGGGGGGCCCTTAATTCGCGCCGACCTCCCAAGAGGCCAAAATGGGACCAAACCGCAGTAACGCCAATGAGTTTGGCTTCCTCGCCGAGGCCGTTTTGGACGCTCCAGCGGCCCGGGAAACGCCCCGTCCAGGTCCAGGGGAGGGGGGAGGGGGAGGGATAGACACTTCCCCAGGGGGGGCCGCATCGGGCTGGCTGCGCATGTTCCGAGTTTGGAGGCA